GCTGGTGTCTGCCATGTGCACCTGAGGCTTGCTGTCCCTGCACTGTATGGTGATGTCATCTGAGCTCTGTCTGTCTCCAAAAACTGCAACATGCCTGTGATCAGGGGTGGAGAGGAAGAGATCAGATGAATCAGAGTTTTTACCCTGAAACAAGCTGGGATCAGGAATTTAATTGTTAGAAACAAAGGCAGCTCATAGATTATGGCATATGATGATGATCCATAAAATAATATTATCCTTTTCTCTGGCCACAGACCTTAAAAATGTTTCTGAATTGCTGAAAGAAGGAAAAACAACTGAAATAAAATAAAATTCCATCTGTAATATACTCTCCACTAACACCTACAGTGTTTTTTCAGCTACTCCTATAGGTACCTTTAGTTCCCGGCTTTCCCATCCTTTATTAATGTGCCACTTTTTGGAACAAATATCACTGCCATTTTTTCATGTCCCTTTACGTTTTAAAGTTATATGTCATATTAAAGGGGGTTAAGTTACTTTTAAAAGGATGTTTTTCCACTCTCATGATACTTCTACCTATAAAAGGCCCTAAATCCCTCAGAAGATCCTAAGTTTTAAGACTCAGATAAATGAATAAAAATTAACCTAAATGAGTCAAATTTTTGGAGGTTCAGTTTTCATTATCCCAAAGTGAGTGCTTCATGGGAACACCTCACAGTGCTCTGTGACGCATAATCGCATGTGTCAGGGCTCTAGACGCAGATATGAGTAGCTGCCCTCTGCACGGTTGAGGCAGAAGGGGATTTATTCTGAACACAGATGGCTCTCACAGCTGTGGGAGGCTGTGGGGCGGGGGAGGCTAAATTTCCAGGAATGTCAGCCTGGAATTGGCCCACTGCCACTGCCCCCAGGCCCACACTCTTTCTTAGGACACCTCTATTAGTGAAGCGAGGTCCTGTGCCTGCCCTGTCCCTCCGCACAGCTCACACCCAAGGCAAGGTCCCGGCTTGGTCCAGCTGACTGGCAGAACCTAGGTCCCACACTGGCACCCCAACTCAAGGCAGGTGGGAGATGAGGAATTATTGTTGTCTATCTGTTTGTTTTTATCTAGGGAAGGCCGGACCCACAGCCCAGGGGTCTACTACAATGTAGGGAGGTTGTCTAAAGACACTGGGCAGCCACAAATGACAGATTTCTGCTATGATACTATCTCATGAAAATAGCAGGCAAATTGTCTAAACTGGCCTCTAGTGTTAAAAAATTGTGTAGCAAAAAATGTGAAGGAAGTACACAAAATTGTTACTGCTGATGATCTCTGTAGTGGATTGTGGACTATGTTTTGTTTTCAAATTTTTCTGTAATAACACTATATTTCTTTGTAAATTAGAAAAAAAATGAGAGCTGACCATTTAAGAAAGGATTAGTTAAAATAATTGCAGCCTTGCTAGATGGATGAAAACTCTTACCTTGAAAGTCCTGAGCAGATTTAATAATCTGTTAAACAGGTGAATATTGAATTTTTTAAAAAGCAAAAAATATTAGTCTTATTTAAGCTGCAGTTAAAATCTGTTTCCTGTGGATTTGCCCTCAGTGGGTACAGTAGTTGCTAATCAAATTAGAGAGTCATGGCAGCTTAAATCAGGAGGGCCTCAGACATCACTTACCCTAACTTTGTAGCACCCAGCTCGATCTGAAGTTTTAGAAAATACAAACATAGTCACATACACACATTTATGCACACTGATCTGCTTACTATCTGTCTTCCTCAGGAGACCCAAGGGCAGGGGTGACGAATTCTCAGAGCCCACTACACCACTACACACACAGCACTCCTCACTGAGATTCCAGAACTCTTAGGCCCCTTGGTTTACTTGCCCCTTGAAGACCTTCCTTTCACTCCTACCCCTTGCTGGACACAAGGAAATGTGAGGTTCCTGCTTTGGAAATATAGCAGGGCTTCTGCTCTGGGGCTGTTCTCCCCATCTGGGAGTTCTGTCCCCCAGGACATGGCCTGGGGGACATGAACTATTTTCAATGTCTCAGCAGTGCCTAATGTTCTTGTCTCCCCTCCATCTGGTCCCGAGGGTCTCTCTCACGTTGGGCAGGGAGGACACTCAAGCCACTGGTTAGGTGCTCCTTCAGATCTTTTCTCTTTGGCCTTTGTCTCTCCTTTGGAAAATCAAAAGCCAGGGATTTTACTCATATTCTCTGTAGTTTGTGATGTCATCTTTATCCTGAGGCAGCCTATGCTGCTTGTTCAATTTGAAATATGTGAAAGACTACAGGGAAATTTGGGGAAAATAACCCTGAACTTCTCAAAGATATCATCTGCCCCATTTGTATGGAAGGTGAGCCAATTTGAAGGGAATGAAATTAGCTATAGTTATCCCAAATTTCCAGTCACTCTCCAAAGTTTGTCAGTTCACTACTGATTCTAGAAAGAAACATGCCACTTGGGAAAGAGAACAGAAAGTTTGCAAAATGAGTGAGTCTGAAGGGGTGCCTGTTTTTGCAGCTGCTAAAAAGTGTGTCCTGAACAGCTGAAGTTCTGATAAAATAAATATCTGTCCTGTTACTTAGGAGAGGGTGACAGGCTGAGTGTCACTGAGCCAGGGGCAAGCTTCCTTGACTTGGTCAGTTTCTGCGCTCTGTTTGGCTGATAAGGCTCTCACATTATGTGACACGCAATGAGAGTTTCCTCTATCAGTTTTAGGTAAGGAAGGTGGAATATCTCTGCATCTGCCAGAGGTGATTATATTAGATATCACCTGTCTTTATAGCCCTACCTTCATCTGCTAAGCTGTGGGCAAATGAGATTTTATGCCTTATCATCAGGCTGCCAGACGGGGCTCAGGTAACTATATGTAAAATCCCATGCCCTGTTGCACAATAGTTGATGTTTGCAAGAAAAAATAAGTATCTTAAAGCTTTCGATAGCATTTGTTCCTTCACAGCAAGAGAATATTGCAAGTTTGAGTGAGGCTTTATATTGCCGTGCTATATAAATTAACCACTGTGACTTTTACAACTGCACGTTGGCTGGGGCACAGTAAGTACTGGAAAACTACCATGAATATGCCATTTGGCTTACGGCTTTATCATTTTTAGAAGTTACAGGAAAACAACCGCGTCTGTCATTTCAAGCTCCTTTATTATACTAAACAGTTTGAGATGCCACTCTTAATAACATGAGGTCATTTTTAACCAAATTCTTGCTAGAACAGTCTCTCTATAGAACACGTTGCCAAGCAAGAATTTCTCCAGAATCCACTCGATTATCAAGTAGGGGCCTGGTAGCGTGTTCAAGACCTAATAAAACCAATGTGATGGCCCCTGTCCAGTGTTATTGGGGCTTGTCCTTGGTTACATAAGGGAACAATTTTAAAATGAAATGACATAACTAAAACGTTTATATCAACTTAAAACATATTGTTGTACATTTTCTCTCATTTTTGTTGTGCAGCCAACATCTGATGTCCTCTGATGAGAGGTCGCTTCATCTTTTTTGAATAAACTTACCCATGTTAAGTTGATTAAGTTTTCCAAGTTTACCTTCTTTAAATTAGAATAAGAATTTAGCAATCTCAATTCAGAATGCTAGATTTTTACATTATTAAACCAACGTTTTAGAACTGTCTTATCAATTACTTCTTTAACAGCATTTTTTTTTTTTTTGCAACTTGTCATTATTAAGCTTTGTGATAAGCATTTGACTTAGTTTTTCTAGCAGAGACAACACTCACTCATCCTTCATCAGGTTGTCATATTTAAGTCACAGATTTACAATACTGGGCACGAGTGGCATAAATAGGTTTGGGAATAGATGCTATGACTTGGGTAAACACCTCAACTGGAAGGTGGTCCAGAGAGCACCTGCTGGCCACCGCGTCCCCAACACAAAGATGGCCATTGACATCTGTTAGAAAGGACTGCAGAGCTCTGGTTAATCTAGGATTTGGTTAAAAGGCCTTTAATTAAGAGAGCTTCTACTATAAATATATGTTCATTAATATGCATAGGTAGTTACTCTTAAATAACATTACTGCAAAATGTCTTCTAGTACAGGTCCTGCAGAACTTAATGAACAGCTAAGGCTCACTTATATTCAGTGGAATCTGTCTGCATACATAATTGGTGCTCTAAAGTGCTTCTCCCAGCAATCTGTTTACACCCTGGCACTGTAATTGGTTTGGTCATCAGTCTGTTTCTTTCTGTAGATGGGAAGAGATACTGTTTTGGTCCACTCCTCATTAGTTATCACAATTTTTAAATTAATAATTTGGAGAGGTAATAAGCCCTTGTTCCATTTATACATGCTTGAATACCTCTGTCAATGTTTTTAGATTTTTTTCTTCTCCTAAATACTGGTAGCAATAAAGTATGATATGCCAAGGACAGTTTTAAAAGAAAATAAGTAGATATTGATTCTGCTGATATTAAGTTGATAGATTTGGAAAATTTTAGAGCTGAGAGACAGAGAGAAGCATGTGTATTTATATACACATGCGGAGGCAAAGAGAGAGTCAGAGAGGAAAAGAGAGTCAAAAAGAGAATAAGACAGATGCAGAGAGACAGAGTGACAGATATAATTATATTATATTCACACACACACACACACACACACACACACACACACACACACATATTGAGAGAGAGAGACAGATACCAAGATAGGAATAGTGAGAGAAATAGAAAAGCAGACAGAAACAGGAAAACAGATAAGTAGAGACAGAAAACACACAAAGAGACAGAAAAAGACAGAAGCAGAGATACCTAGAGGCTGAGGAAGAGCCGCTTCAGCCACGCCACTCAAGATTAGCCCTGTCTCTGCCCCGTGTGACCAAACTAGGGCCGCAGGTGTGGAGGGCACTGCCAGGACAGAGGCAGACCCAGGGTGCCCAGGAGTCACCAGTGATAGCAGACCTCTGAGTAGGTCACAGCCTGGGCATTAATTAGATGGCCCTGCACCACTGTTCACATCTATCAAACATGTTTTTTTCGTTCTAAATGTATTAAAAAAATTTTTTTTTTGGCTGCAGAAAGGTCCTGAAGGAAATCTCTACTGGAGAACTCAATCCAAATGAGACTCTGCAGGCCACCTTGGAGGCCCAGCTCCTTTCCAAGCTGGACCATCCAGCCATTGTCAAGTTCCATGCGAACTTTGTGGAGCAAGATAATTTCTGCATTTTCACAGAGTACTGTGAGGTGAGACTCTCCTTCTCTTTTTGAAATCTTAATAAAAATATATTTCATAGGGCTTCCATGGTGGCGCAGTGGTTAAGAATCTGCCTGCCAAAGCAGGGGACATGGATTTGAGCCCTGGTCCGGGAAGATCCCACATGCCCCAGAGCAACTAAGCCCGTGCGCCACAACTACTGAGCCCGTGTGCCACGACTACTGAAGCCCGTGTGCCTAGACCCTGTGCTCCACAACAAGAGAAGCCACTGCAATGAGAAGCCTGCGCACCACAACCAAGTGTAGCCCCCACTCTCCACAACTAGAGAAAGCCCGTGTGCAGCAATGAAGACCCAATGCAGCCAAAGATAATTAAATTAAATAAATTAAAAAAATATATATATATTTCATAGTAAAAAGCTGTCTGTAAAGAGACATCTCAGAAGTTTAATTAGCCAACCACAAGGTGAACTATAAATACCTGAGATGTTGTGTCTTGCTGCTAAGAGAGAGCATCTCTATGTAATTGACAAACTTGTTTCTGATGAAGGGTTTCTCCTTCTTGGAAAACTCAGAGTGAATGTGTTTTAAGGAGGAATTGCTGCAGAAAAACAATCCAGCAGGGCTTCCCTGGTGGTGCAGTGGTTGGGAGTCCGCCTGCTGATGCTAGGGGACACAGGTTCGTGCCCTGATCCGGGAGGATCCCACGTGCTGCGGAGCGGCTGGGCCCGTGAGCCATGGCCGCTGGGCCTGCGCGTCCGGAGCCTGTGCTTCGCAACGGGAGAGGCCACAACAGTGAGAGGCCCACAACAGTGAGAGGCCCGTATATTTACTTTTGGTGTGTGTGTGGGTGCATTCTCCAAGCCTCCGACAATGGTTCAATTATTAGATGGACATTTAAATGCCGTAACAGAGGCCTGGACAGAGCAGAGGGACACCTCCTGAGTCCTGGGTTCTAGCTCTGTGGTTCATTTTCCCCAATGGAAACTTGGAAATGGGAATATGGCTCATTTTCCCCATGAAAATCCTTCATATTAACCGATTTGTGATTTATGGCGTCAGGTATTTGCAGTTTTCCCTGCCATTCCATGTTCTCCCCAAGTGATAATAGCTGTGCATTTTACTGAGCCCAAGTGAACATGAAGCTGCTGAGAAAGGTGCCGGGTGGAGGGGGCTTGGGGTTGACAAAGTGCAGCATATGTGGGTCTGGGCAGTCACTCCTGAGAGGCTAGGGAGAGGGGAGTTACAGGGGTTGGGTCAGAAGGAGAATACCCAAACATGCCCTTGCTCAGACAGTATCTTCCAGAACATTCTGAGAGCTAATGTCAGCCAAATGTACCTTGGGAGAATCTGGTTCTATTCATACTTTAGAATGTATTCAGTTCATCACCTGGGTGTTGCTGGGGCCCAAGAGAAATGATGCTGGGAAGAAAGAAGATGCTCTTTAGAGGGGGAGGCAGGCCTGTTTGGATCAGAGGGTGCTGGGTGTCTGAGGTGTGGAAAAGAAGAGGAAGGAGGAGAAGCAAATCGGAAGGAGTAAAGATAGCAACGAAAACCAGCTTCGCTGTGATTTACATGGTAGCTGATGTGTCATCCAGAATGAAACCAGTAGCAAAGTTAGAATATTTGAAAATTTGATATCATCCAGGTCTTGGCTGTTCCCCTTCAGGACGGTCTCCCTGGCACAGCCTTGCTGGGAGTTTCCCCATCCAGTCTTGCCCCTCCTCTGCTTGAAGGAGAAGCAGGGGAAGAAAAGAAAAAGAACCAGGACATTTGGGTGTTTACTTCTTCATCCAACAGATTTTTAAGAAAATCAGTAAAATGATGAGGTGCGCAGAGCATGGGTAAGAGCAGCTGCTCTGGCAAATATGTCACTGATCTATGCAAAACCCAGGGATTTACAAATATAGCTACACTATGATCCATCAGCTATAATTTAATCGTTTTCTTCTTTTTGCCCCATCCAGTTAATAAACTATCTTATGTGGGAAGCAACTGACTCCTATTACTTATGCCTATTACTGCTACCTCTGCTGCTGCTCTCGGCACACTGAATTTTCCAAAAAGACTCTCACGATCTTAAAATATTTTTCACTGTAGTGAGGACTGTCCAGTGGAACTTTGTGTGATGATGGTAATACTCTATATTTGTGCTGTCCAATATGGTAGTTGCTAGTCACATACGACCCTTTAGCACCTGATGAAATATGGCTAGTATGGTTGAGGAGCTGGATGTTAAACTTTATTTAATATTAATTACTTTAAATGTAAATAACCATGTATAGCTGGTGGCTACCATATTGAACAGAGCTAGATGATAAGCTATAACTTTCTCTCCTTATATTAATTTTTAATTATTAATTTTCATGTAATTTTAATCTACTAGAAAAGTTACAGAACACAGTGAACTCCCATATACACTTCGCCCAGATTTACCAATCGTTATTTTTTCACATTTGCTTTATTATTCTATCCTTTCTATCTATCTATCTATCTATCACCTATCTATCTATCATCTATCTATTTTTTCCTGAACCACTTGAGAGTAAGTTGCAGACATGATGCCCCTTTGTCCTAAATCCTCCTATGAGTGTTTTCTAAGGCCAAGGACATTTCCTTAACATAACTGCAGTACGAAGATCAAAATCAGGAAATTAACGTCGATGCAATGCTGGTATGTAATCCAGTGGTTGTCAGTGTGTGATCCCAGACCAGCAGCATCAGCATCATTTGGAATCTTTACTTAGAGATACAGATTGTTAGCTTCCACCACAGCCACAGCGAATTAGAAATTCTGGGGGTGGGATCTGGCTATCTGTGTTTTGACAAGCCCACCAGGTGAGGCTGAAGCACACTACAGTTTGAGAACCACACATCTAATCCACAATTCACACTCAAATTGAGCCCATTTGTCCCAGTTATGTCTTTAGAAAGGACATTTCTATAAGAATGTCTTTTTCTCGTGCAGGATCCAATCCAGGATCATCTGCATTACTTTTTAAATGCTGGCGGGCTTCCCTGTTCCACCTGCTGAGCTGTCAGGACGTGCTTCTCTGAGGAATGCTGTGTGTGGGTCGCTAGTTCTCCTTGCTAACCGAGATATTTCTCATCTTCATAAGCTTAACTCACACAAACCTGGCATTATCCTCTTCTTACTGAGGTAAAATAATAATATTGGAAATGGCAGATGGCCAGACTTGCACCTCACAGAAAAATGTTATCACCATTGAAATAGCTGGGTTTTTTGATCCCCAAGTTTCCTCTTCTATAATTTAATTTGGAGGCTTGCAAGACTGAAATACACACATATAAATACATTCACAAGGCTGCTATGTCCACCACCCAACCCTTTGGACACATCACATCAGATTATGAGTGTAAAAAGCAAATTACCCAATTCTCACAACTTCTTGTCAAGATCTAACCAAATCTTTGGTGGGGAATAGTACCCAAATTACCAAAGTGACAGAATGTTTCAGGTATTGGTGCCTTCCATTCTCCTCCAGCCAGGGAAATGGGGCAACTTGCTGTCCCCTGTCCCTCCTCCACAGTTTCCCACCTCTTCATCTGTGCCCTTTCAGAATGTCCTTCCTCCTGGCCCCATGTTTTCAGTTCCCACCCATCCTCCCAGGCCTGCTGAAATGTCACCCACTCTACAAAGATTCCTATAATCTCCTGGCTGGAAATCACTCCTCACCCGATCCCCGACTCTCATCGCATTTCAACTTGGTGACACACAGCACATTATACATAGTATCATCCATCTCAGATCAGACTCTCAGTGTGTGGGATTGATCTTTTTCTGATTCATTTTTGTATTGCATCATGAACCCATGTAATGAGCCACAAAAAATTAGTACTCAGGAAATTTCTTACCACTTGCTTCCAGCTGCCTCTCACCTTATTTCTGTCAAAAGCCGATGGTAAAATTTTGGATCCTTCTATCTGTCATATATGTTGAAAGCACTTTGTCAGAAAGCAGGGAAGGTTGGACTTGTCTGTTTCCTGCACTGTGATATTAACAATAGCTAAATAAAAATTATATCAATATAGTTGTAGTGCTTAACCTTGGCTGCACACTGGAATCACCTGAAAAGCTTTCAAAACTAATGAGGGCTGAGGCCCTCCTTCAGAAAGTCTGATTTAATTGGTCTGGGGAATGACCCAGGCATCAGGATTTTTGAAAGCTCTCCAGGTGATTCTAATGGGCAGCCAGGGCCGAGAACTCTAAAAAAAGGGAGAATGGCCAGTGTGGAAACAGAAAAATATAGTCATAGAAGAAAACCATGTCAGTGTTTATGGAGCACTGAGCAAAGATGAGGCTCAGCTGAGAACAGGGGAGTCTGGCTGGCTCTGCTGGTGGGTGTGGTTTTCTGCTCAGGCCACCAGCTGGGTGCTGTTCATGAAAATTACCTGCCTTGTTCTCTGGGCTCCCTGAGCAACCTTCTATCCTGTTTCTCCTCAAGCTTTCATGCCCTGATTTTAGCATTTTTTCGGTGGTAGTTGCCTTGAGCAGTTTTTACTGTGATATTTGCCTAATGGTGATTATGTATTTCCCTCATTCTTTCTACATTTATTAATTAGGGCTCTCCTGTTAGAAAGAGCTATTCCACTGTTCCTTCTCCTCCATTGATGTCTTTATTCAATTATTTATATCAGTATGGACTCAGGGATATTTATTTTATTCTATGGGTTATAGCCCAATGCTGTCATTATTAATTTTCTTTCTCAATTTGGTCCAGCTTTGGCTAGTGGGGCTCCTTCAGATTGGCTCCTGTGTCCTCTAAACATGCCCCCATCCTTTTTGAAGGAGAAGTGGATTCTTATCTATAAACTATATTTTGTAGATGAGGAAACGGGACCCCAGAGAGGTGATTTTCTGGCAATCACATGGCTGGAATGTTGGATTTCATCCAGGACCAAGACCAGGATCACAGGGGTATAGGGAAAGCTGCTCCTGTTTTTCTTTTACTTGGATTGCTCCTATTCCTTCCTTAATATTTAAGAGAGTCAGGGCTTCCCTGGTGGCGCAGTGGTTGAGAGTCCGCCTGCCGATACGGGAGACGCGGGTTCGTTCCCCGGTCTGGGAAGATCCCACATGCCACGGAGCGGCTGGGCCCGTGAGCCATGGCCGCTAAGCCTGCGCGTCCGGAGCCTGTGCTCCGCAACGGGAGA